TATATATATATATATAGAAAGACTTTTTACAATATTTTTCATAATTTATATAATTATGTAAAGATTGAGTAGTAATTGTAGATATGTGATTTTATTAAGTGTAAGAATACTAATTAGTCATTACACATCCGACAAACAAAAATGTTTTTTGGGCACCAACATGCTATATAACACTTGGAGAAATTATTTTGATGCATTGTGCTGTTATAAAGACTTTTTCTTTCATAAGAAGAAAAAGTATAACATTACTCTTCCTTCCGCAAAGTGTGATTGTTAAAATAGGGAAACAAAATAATAAATGCCAGTCCTAAAGTTCGTCAGACAAATTTGCGCTTACTTTTGTGTACATGTCATTTGTGAGATCAAACCAATTTGATGCATTGAGTGACTGTGTCACTAATTAATGTTCATATGATTTCTTTTTAAAAAAAATTATCCACATATCATGCCACTAACTTGCAACTCATACATTTTTCAAAATTATCATATATGATTTTATCACAAAAACAGAAATTTGAAAACTCTAAATAATTAATTAATCTATCTAGGATTTTTTTTCCATAAAATTTCATTCAAATTAAAAACTAAATAAGTACAAATGTAGAATTGTAGTGTTACATATGTACGTTGGAATGATACCGTAACATTCTTTTTACCAATACAGTAATGATAGTCATCCACCCCATTTTGGGAGAAATTAGAGTTGAAAAAGGAAAAGTGGAGGAAAAAAATATAAAAAAATAAAAAATAATAGAGGATGTAATGAAAAGATAATAGAGATAAGAAGAAAAAAAATGAACTAAAAGTGAACTAGAATAAAATTGAATCGATTCTTGAGTCACATTTTTTTAGTCTGGTTTTGTAGAGTATTGGGTTATTAGACAATTTGAAGAAGGAATATTTTTGACACCTCTATTGCATTAGCCTTTTCATTTGCAGGGTTAATTATGCTTTTAGTTTATAAAAAAGTTTTGACTAATCAAGGTTCCTAACATTTTTCTGTTAAAGTTTTTACTTCCTAAAATTTTTTAAATTTTGGTTTTTAGTCCTATTAAAATATACAAAAATAATGGAGTTTAAATTTTTCTTGAAAGACTAAAAATCAAATTCCTAAAACAGGGACGTTAATCAATCAAACTTGTCAGAAACTAAAATTTTAATACAAAAAAAGGTGAAAAATCTCTATCGGTCAAACTTTTATTTACAAATAAAAAACAAAATTTCAAAGAAGTTTAGGTACTAAAAAATCAAGTTAATCCTATAGTTCATACATAAACACTCTTATATCGAATGAACTCTTAGTGAAAAAGTTCATCTAAATTCGATGAAGGTAGCTATTTCTTTTGTACAATTAGTAAGCATGCATCTTGTATCTCTTTCTTTTGTAGACAATCACATTTTCAAATACTTAAATGACATTCAATTTTTGTTTGCATCTCTTTTTTTCTTTTCTTATATATTTATCGATTATATCAATTATTTACCTCTTTACTTCTTATATCTCTCAACTATTTAAATTTATGAGTGTCAAAAAAATCATTTTAGAAAATATATTTAGACACTTATCAATAGACAGAAACATTCTTTGGACATTCATTTTCTTTTTCTCTTTTCTAATTGCAAGCTTAACTTAATATTTTAATATTGAATTAGTTTTATTTTATCCTGTAGGTTTTATTCGGAAGAAACTATTAGATGATATTGTATTATATAATTCTTAACTAATCCGTATATAATACATAATAAAATAGTCCTAATATTTTATTTCATAAATTAAAAAAGCTTAAAATAAATGTGACGTAGTGATGAATTGAAAGCATTGATTAAAAGGTTAATCTTGAAGTACATAATAATTTATAGTTGGAGTGTGTAGGATTAATTAAAAGGTGTGAAATTTGGTAACACAAATCATATAACAAATAAAGATAGTAGAATCCAAGCAAGCAGCAAAGGGCAAAGCAAAATGTCTTGCCCCACTCTTTATCATCACATCCACCATGGTTGTACTCAAACACATGGAACCCATCTCACTCCAACTCAAACCTCTCCCACAATGGAAGATGAGTCACCAACACCTCCAAAATCCTACAAACTAACAGCCACCGCCATATCCTACACCAAGTCCTTCTTCAAACACTGCACCACCACCCCTCCAACCTACATCCTCAAAGACATCTCCCTAACAGCCCTTCCGGGCCAAATCCTGGCCGTGGTGGGCCCCAGCGGCGCCGGCAAGTCCACCCTCCTCGACATCCTCGCCGCCCGCACCCTCCCCTCCCACGGCACTCTCTCCCTCAACGCCGCCCCCCTCCTCCCCTCCACCTTCCGCAAACTCTCCGCCTACGTCCCCCAGCACGACCACTCCCTCCCTCTCCTCACCGTCCGCGAAACCTTCCTCTTCGCCGCCACCCTCCTCCACCCCAAAACCCTAAACCTCTCCTCCCTCGTCTCCTCCCTCCTCTCCCAGCTCAGCCTCTCCCACCTCGCCAACACCCGCCTCGCCCACGCCCTCTCGGGAGGCGAACGCCGCCGCGTCTCCATCGGCCTCAGCCTCCTCCATGACCCCGCCGTCCTCCTCCTCGACGAGCCCACCTCTGGCCTCGACAGCACTTCAGCCTTCAAAGTCATGCAAATCCTCAAACAAACTTCCGTCTCTCGCAACAGAACCATTATCCTCTCTATTCACCAACCTAGCTTCAAGATCCTCTCATGCATTGACAACATCTTGTTGCTTTCCAAAGGAAGCGTCGTTCACCACGGATCCGTTGCTTCCTTACAGGCCTTTCTGCACTCCTATGGCTTCACCGTCCCTCACCAACTCAACGCCTTGGAATACGCCATGGAGATATTGAGCCAGTTGAATGATGTCAAAAAAGTTCAACCTGTCATCACTCCACCCAGCCTTCCTGAATCCCCTCAAAGCTCAACTTCCAGTAATTCTAGTGTTTGTGACGGTCGAGTAGAGATCAGGTTTAAGAGTTCTAGGGTGCATGAGATTTTCACTCTTTACATTAGGTTTTGGAAGATTATTTACCGAACGAGGCAACTTCTTTTGACCAACACTTTGGAAGCCCTTCTCGTGGGGCTTGTGTTGGGAACTATTTATATCAACATAGGGTTTGGTAAAGAAGGGATTGAGAAAAGGTTTGGTCTCTTTGCCTTCACTCTCACCTTTCTCTTATCTTCCACCACTGAAACGCTTCCCATCTTCATCAACGAGAGGCCAATCTTGCTCAGAGAAACTTCCAGTGGGGTTTACAGGCTTTCGTCTTACCTCATTGCAAACACACTTGTTTTCTTGCCCTACTTGTTCGTCGTTGCTGTTATATACTCTATCCCCGTTTACTTCCTTGTTGGTCTTTGTGCTTCGTGGCTTTCTTTTGTTTACTTTGTTTTGGTTATTTGGGTCATTGTTCTCACTGCAAACTCGTTCGTTCTCTTCTTGAGCTCTCTTGCACCAAACTACATTGCTGGGACTTCGCTCTTGACGGTGCTTCTTGCTGCGTTTTTTCTCTTCTCGGGCTACTTTATCTCCAAGGATAGCTTGCCCAAGTACTGGCTCTTCATGCACTTTTTCTCTATGTATAAATACGCTCTGGATGCTCTTCTCATCAACGAGTACTCGTGCTTGGCCACACGCTGTTTAATATGGTACCAAGAGAATCAACTGTGCATGGTTACCGGTGGTGATGTGTTGCAGAAGAAAGGGCTCAGAGAGAGTCAGAGGTGGACCAACGTGTATTTCTTGATCGGATTCTTCGTGATGTATCGTGTCCTTTGCCTCTTGGTTTTGATTAGGAGGGTTTCGAGGTCCAAAACTTAGAAAGGGTGATCAAACGCAGAAAATTTTAAGTGCTGTTGTGTTTTATTTCATTTTCTTTTTTTTATAAATTTTTATCTTCCTGTTGTATGATCCAACTGCTTTTGTTTTATTTGATTTCTATGAAGTATATAATCTGAAATACAGCCACAGAGAAAGTTTGTTTAATAGATATGAAGTGGACTTTTCGTTCTGCTTTGAACTAGTGCTATTATCGCATCTTCATTTAGATATAGTTGTTCCTTTCCTTGAAACGTAATTTAGAAGATTTGATATATAGTAGTGTGTGATATTTCATTTTCTTTAGATACAGGAAAACAAGTACGTAATAACTTATAACTAGAGTTAAGAAAGCGATGTTTCATACTTTAGCCACAATGATGGACATGCATTAATGTACATCAAATTTTTTTTAAAATTAATCACGAAATAATTTCTTTTCAGAATAACTGACTGAAAAGCATTTTTGTATTAATTCGTTGAAATAGATTTTTTTTTTTCAATTCTCGTGGAAATAAATTAAAGAAAATTGCAAAAAAAAAAAGTGATAGATAGGTTAAATTAAATATATTTGTAATACGTACTAGCTAGCGACCACTCATTCTTATTGTACGTATGTACGTGTGGTCTGATTTTCTCACATGCAAAGGAGTTTGATTGAGAAAATGAGATGTGAGTATGGAAGATCAATAATTCTGTATATTAGTGGCTGAATTATAAGGCGGGGTCCATAAACTTGGAAGAGTGAATATATATGTAATGTAACAGGAAAACCACATAGATATCTCTTGGCTTATTCAATTGTTCGATTTGTTTAACTTGGTTGAAGTCACGGGTCTCTCTTATGCCAAGAGAGGAAAGAGTCCAACCTGTCTTGATCATCATGAAAGAGGTTTTGTCGTTTGGCTAAGCTGCTATTCTTTTGTCTGCTGTGACTGTGAGCTATAATAGTGTTTTGTTCACGGGTTATTTATTCGTGCTATCCCGTGAACTTGTTCAGTGTTGGGTTGGAGGTTGCATTACTTGCATACAATATTTTTTATAGCATATATTTCTTCGGGTCTCACATGCATTATACCGCGTGAGGCAATAATAGAGAACCTGCACCAATGGTATATGTGATTTTTTAAATTTCTCCTCGTCCAATTAATAATTTGTTTATGGGTGCACAGTTATATAACTAGGTTAATTAGAGTGTTCAAAAGGTTACGTAATGAGATTAGGAATCAATCTAATGACAAATTAAGTGGTCCAATGTAATTAAACTTCTAAGCATAAAAATTCAGCATTATATATGTTCAAAAATCACATTAGTATACATTAATAATATAAATTAACATAGTCAAAATATAACATAATAATGTATTATCTAATCCCATGACGCTCTTTACCGAATCACAGAAATGCTAACAACACAAGAAAGGATTCTATACGGTGGGAGCAAAACCATGAGATGATAAAATGTTATAATCTCACCATTTTTTTTAATTTCTATTTATAATATATATATATATATATATATATTATATAATAAATAGTTAAGATCTAGTACAATGATAAACCGGTAGTATATCTTAAAGTTTATTGAAAATAAAAATTTATAAAAAAAAATATTTATTAAATATGATGTGAAACTCTTAAAATTTTATAATTTTTAATAAATTATAATTAATAAAAAAGGGTGCAAAAGAGTGTGATTTCACAGACGATTTCCATTGAACAAGCTTTGTTTTGAACAGGAAATCGAAGAAAAGAGTGAAAACATTATAATCAATGCATTTTCTGCAATTTATTGGATCAAAAGAAAACAAGACGAAAGTGCAGTTTACAAGCTCTCTACGACTCTTTGCTTTTTTTTTTTGTTCATCCATGGAGTATTCACCGCCGATAATAATAACTAATCTCCTCGCTATGTTGAAGACACTTCAAAGAGTGTGATAGCTAGCCTATAACTCTTTACTTTACTTATTTATTTATTATCATTGTATATTGTTGTGGATAAATGTGCATAGTTGTAAATAACTTGTGTTCATATTCAATGAACATATGTTGGAGTAGAACATATTAAACTTAAATTGTCTATTTGTTAGATTACAAATTAATTGAATTAAGACATAGAGCTATACTTTCATAGTTTATATATATATATATATATATATATGTGTGTGTGTGTGTGTGTGTGTGTGTGTGTTAAAGGTGTGAGATGGGTGATAGCCGAATGAGTGTTTTATGTTGTGCTATGTTGTTTGTGATGTGTTAATGACATAAATGTCCATGTTGCTTGGTGATATGTATATGTGCATGTTGAAAATATATATTATTTTTTTTCTTTCTTTTTTTATGTAATCGTATTTTTAATTAATAATATAATAATAAACATCTGCTCTACTCTTAAAAAGGTAAATACATTGCCAAACCTTATTAAATATTATTAACTTATTATTCTTTCTCACTTTTCTATTTTTATTAAATCAAATAATATATGTTACTTTATTATTTTTATTTTCTCTCTTCATCCAAACAAACTAAAAGAGGGATAACCTAATCCAATTTGGACCGATATAAAAGGTGATCCAATTTAAAAAGACTGATGAAGAAAAAACCAGACAAGATATATATAAATAAGTCAACATGAACAAACTCTCTCGAGTCTTTTTTAGATTGAATGTTTATATTATGTTTTTCAGTGTTTGATTGCTACGGAAGATTTCTTAGTAAATTAGTGCTTTTAAACAATTTTGTTTATTCAGCTCTGGTTTTTTAAAATTTGATTAGTTTATGAATTTAGTTATTAATAAATCAAATTATGAATGACTTAATTCATTATCCACCTTTTTATACACTTTTAAATTCATCTTTCAATCTAATTTTTACATTAAAGATATTTCATGACCAAAATAATTAAACTAGATTAGAATATTAGGATAATCATCAGTCAAAATAGTACGTGAGAATTTATATTTGGACAACCTATATGATTAAGGTTTAGGATTGATAGATAAAAAATTGAATGTAGAAAAAGAAGTGAGTGAGGAAGTTTTTCTTTAATTTAAAACATAGAGAAAACCAATAATCAATATAGAGAATTGTAAGTATAACAAGTTGCAAGTATGGAAATAACGCAAATGAAGAAGGAAGGAAGCAAAGTGACATTGAGGAGCCTATTGACACCCCCGTAGCCAGCAAGTGTAATGGTGGCATCTGCAATCACTCGTGCAAGTGTCCCAGCCTCTGTAGACAAGAGCCCTCCATTGTAGGTTCCACGAGAAAGCCTTGATGACATAACTCGTGAAAGAAGAGACAAGTTCACACCTGTAATATATGCATCAATCCTTCTCAAATATCATCAAAATCAAATGCTTCTTGTTCTTTAATAAAAGGACAATATTGTCTAATTTGCTATAATGATATCTAAAGACACTTCTCAATTTGACATCATATTTACTTAGTGAGACATAGCACCATGATTCCAGTGCACCTCCACCGTCAAAAATAGCAAAATCAGAGAGAACAAGATCTTACCTTCAAGTACTTCAGCAGAAACAAACATAAGGAGACCCGAAGAGATGTATTGTGGTTCAGAGTATGGAAAAATTACATTGAAGCTGAAAACTATGCCTACGAAAACCATAATTTCTGATGCCAACAGAATTTGCCTACAAACAATCAATACAAACGTGATCTCTTAGCTTCATGTGTGGATAATATCAACAATTACAAACATTAAGCCCTTGGATCTTTATTATTTAATTTCTTACCAAGCATTAAATTCAAAATGTATCATGCATCTTTCTGAAAACTCCAGAACATAAATTAGCTTTATGAATGATTATGTAATGAAGTATAGTTTTTTCCACTCGTTACCTGTCCTCAAACATATTGCTTATATAAGTTCCAACAATAATGTTTACAGGGAGAACTGTCAAACCAAGGCAAGCAAGAAAAACGGAAACCGTGCTTGTTGTCCAATTGAAGTAGTATGTTGTGATGACACTAGATTCTGATAGTAAAATCTCCATTGCATATTTGAGCATGAAATATATCAATAACTGAACCTGAAAATGTTACATAAATTTGGTCAGATGAACAGCCTTCTCATCTAGTCTTCAATTGGAACTTTGTAAATGTGATATCAAACAAACAGTGCATCAAAGATTTCACAATAGAAATTCTAAATTATCTAAAATAACAATAAGCTGAATGAGGCAATTCATTATATCAAGAGACGTGCGATGTGTAAATAACCATATTTGACAGTAGAAAAGGCCCATCTTGCAAATTTAGCAGTAATTTTATCGTAGAGTCAGGTCTGCACTTATTGGGAAATAAAATTCTACATCTATTTTCAAATCCCTTAGTTTTATCCGACATAAATCATTCCCACGGTTCTACCTAATCGTAAATGGAATGATAATTATTAATACTATTAATTCAGTCTACTGCAGGTAGGGCACATCTTAACATGTTAAAAAATGTATTCAGGTAAAATAAATAAATATATGTTTAATTTCCATGTATCTGTATTTTTAAATTGAGAGAAACTTGTAATCAACTAAAGGCATTTTAGCTTGTTATGGTCAAATTTGAACTGCTGGACTATCTCAAGATGCTTCTTAACTGTCTAGGAGACAGATAAAATACTATTCAAATGTATTAAGATAACTATTGTGGCAAGCAAACTTATTAACCTCAAACAATCCTCTTTGAATCTCTAGCTTAGGAGTTAGTAAGATGTTACATAGACATCATCTTCCATCTTGATTTTATTTATGCTACCAAGGTTGCCTAAAGTCCTAAATTAGTATTTTGATTAAGTTTGGCGCTACTTCATTATTAATTAATAATTCACATAAATCAGATGCCCAAATTAAAAAACAAAAAAATGCTTTTGAGACCTCTGTAAAAGTAGAAACCAATTAAGTCCTCAAGGAAATCTAGTCAGTCACATGATGTTCACTATCATCTACTGTCTAACTTAAAATGTTATACAAAGTAAAAGTGTTTAGCAAACTTCAAAGAGGACAGGGTTAAAAGCAAATTGCATTTCAACTCCTTTAATTTCTCATTTATAACTTTCCATAATTAACCTTTCTGTCATTTAGGAGCATACGGTGTGTCACACGAAAAAATTAGTGTTCCGTTCAACAGCGACTTAAAATGTATTCTTCTAATAAACTAATGGTTAAAGGAGATCCAAGTTTTTTATGGGTTGATACTGTGACATTTAGAGTTTGCTTTCAAACCTTTACAGAAGGTGTAAGGAGTCTATATGCTGATCCAATTGAATTGGCTGGCTGACGAGAATCCTCTGGAGCTTCTTCACTATCAGCATCTTCATCCTCCTTGTTTTCCGAGCTCTTAAGCAATGACTGTTTTATGCCTTTCTCAAGTGCACTGTTATCTGCTAGTACGAGCATAAAGTACGTCATTTCTATTTATTGTGTTCAAGTTTAACAGAATGAACAAACTCTTGACGGACCTGACCTGACATATATAGATAACCCATATAATTATGACATAATGTAAGGATAATGTGGCCCTACATTTTTTCTGTCAATTTTCAAGTGACAGATAGACAAACTCTCTGACTTAGAAAAGGCTCACTTAATGCCAGAAGTGTTACTTATGTGTCTCCATGATTTCAAATATTACATTTTGGCAGCAGATTTACCGAATCACTAGATATAGCTTTCCAGATAGAAGTAGATATTATTGCCTTAGTCCTTCTTCAGTTTTTTTTTTTTTTTTTTTTTTTTTTTTTTTTTTT